TTTGGGGTACATGTGCAGAATATCCATTCTTCTAGATTTTTCTAGTTTATTTAAACAGAGGTGTTTATAGTATTTTCTGATGGTAGTTTGGATTTCTGTGGGATCAGTGGTGATATCCCCTTTATCATTTTTTACTATGTTTATTTAATTGTCTCTCTGTTCTTCATTATTAGCCTGGCTAGCAGTTTATTATTTTGTTGATCTTTTCAAAAAACCAGTTTATGAATTCATTGATTTTTTTTTTAAGGGTTTTCATGTCCCTGTCTCTGTCAGTTCTACTCTGATCTTAGTTATTTCTTGTCTTCTGCTAGCTTCTGAATTTGTTTGATCTTGCTTCTCTAGTTCTTATAATTGTGATGTTAGGGTGTCTATTTTAGATCTTTCCTGCTTTCTCTTGTGGGCATTTCGTTCTGTAAATTTCCCTCGAAACACTGCTTTAGCTGTGTCCCAGAGATTCTGGGATGTTGTGTCTTTGTTCTCATTGATTTCAAAGAACATCTTTATTTCTGCCTTTATTTAATTATCTATCCAGTTGTCATTCAAGAGGAAGCTGTTCAGTTTCCATGTTGCTGTGCAGTTTTGAGTGAGCTTCTTAATCCTGAGTTCTAATTTGATTGCACTGTGGTCTGAGAGACTGTTATGATTTCCATTCTTTTGCATTGCTGAGGAGTGTTTTACTTCCAATTATGTGGTCAGTTTTGGTATAAGTGTGATGTGGTGCTGAAAAGAATGTACATTCTGTTGCTTTGGGTTGGAGAGTTCTGCAGATGTTTATTGGGTCCGCTTGGTCCAGAGTTGAGTTGAAGTCCTGAATATCTTTGTTAATTTTCTGTCTCATTGATCTAATATTGACAGGGGGGTGTTAAAGTCTCCCACTATTATTGTGTTCTGGGAGTCTGAGTCTCCTTGTAGGTCTCTAAGAATTCTCTTTTTTAGACCCAATCTCACACGTTCTATTTTAAGGGATAGATGAATCTAACCAATTCATGTTTACTATGAGAAACAAAATGTTTGTACCTTCTTTTGCCATCTTATTTATTTATATTTTACTTGTCTTTCTTTCTTGTTTGTTTTTTTCTCTTTCCCCTATTTTGCCCCATTTGCTCAATTGATCACATTTAATTTTTTACTTTTTTTTTTTTAGTCTTAGGTTTCAGAAGTTATACTTTCCACGTCTATTTTGTTCCATTTATATTCAAAGCCAAGAAACACACAACAAATAAAGATCTGAGAAAACTAGACTTAAAGTGAGTTCCCAACAGTGGAAACAGACCAGGCTGATCAACAAAGAACGTGGCAGGAGTTTCCATGACTCAACATTCCAAGCAGAAGCTAAAACCACTAAGGTTTAAAAAACCTGGAAGCCCTTACTTGTGAAACTGTGGTATCTGTCTGCTGCAAACCCTCAGGGACAGGTGCTGGGAAAAGCTGGAGGGATAAGGGTGCGCTTTCAGGTTCTGCCGTGACATGCCTTTGCCTGGTCTTTCCATCTGGGCTTGTGCAAGCTGCTTCCTCTTTCTCTGTCTTGAACTGTCTTGTCTCTATGCTCTCTGTCCTCTGCTGACCCTCCTGCCAGCAAGATGGGGAGAGGGGAAGAGACAGGGCTTTGGAGAGAGAACAAGGAATGTGGGCTGGGAGTGATTCTCCTCCTGTTGTGAGCTCTGTGCAGCATCAAGCATGGCTGGATATCCCTTTTTCTGACAGTTACATCTGCTGGTGCAGCCTGTCCGACAGTGCTGACCGCCTGGATCCCCTGTCACTGTGAGCAGTGAGCAAGGCATATTTTTCCAGGAACCAGATATTGAGAATTAGTCTATTACATGCAGTTCATGCAATTAAATAGAAATTTTGTGAGGCTATTTTGCCAGCAGCTGTGCAAGTTTGAGAATACAGAATGATCTCAAATAAAAGCTGAATGAATCAAATTGACTGACAGTTGCCTTGAGATTGGGAACCTGGGCAGTGGGGCTGCCGTAGAAGCCAGGCTTTGTTAGGAAAAACGGGGAGAAGATTTAATGTCCCAAGAGGCTTTGGGAGTGAGTGCCAGCCAGGCTGAGAGAGGCCACAAGAGCTCTGGGCAGATGCTGGCATCTGCTGAGTGACACTGGGCCCTCTCACGATCCAGCAGCCTGAGGGCTGCTTTTGTGTCCAGGCTGCTGACTGCGGATGTCCACGCCTCCATTTTATTAGTTGCTTCCACCAGAGGTTTCGGAGGTCTGGAAAACATGGCAGGGGAGGAAGAGGAGTGTCTGGCTCAGGAATTTCAGGAGATGGAGGTTTCTTATGGAGCCAGCTGATGGGCGAGAGCTCTTAGGGCCACTTTAAGGCTCACTATAAAGAATATGTGGGGAAGCCTGTGGCAGAGGAGGCTCTGTCCATGTGCGGCCTGGGTGGTCTCAGGGTCATGAGCACTCAGGCTCTCCTGCGTCATAAAGCCCTGCTCCCATGAGGCAGCACTGTGGACTGGGCCAGGAGGAGGGTAACAGTAGGGGTCCTACTAACACAGTAGGGGTCCTGGTAACACAGGGCTCTGAAAGGCTGGGGGCAACTCTGCAACTCTGTTCACAGTGATCAGAATGACAGGACACCGACAGGTCATTCAGGAAAGCCAAGACACTGCTGAAGGGCCAAGGCTGGTTTACAAAACCGGGAGGCCAGAAGGAAATGATGGTGGGGAGCCACAGGTGTGGCGCCCACCTAGGGGTGAGCCTAGGGGGCAGCTGGGGGCCAGGAGTCAGACTTGGGCAGGCTTGTGGTCTCAGATTTAAATACCCAGTGTGCTCCGATTTGTACCCAGTTACGCGTATGTTATACAATTTAACCCCTAGCTCATCCTAGTGATGGAGGTAATATTGTTTCCATTTTATAAATGCTAAAATCTAAGGTTAAAAAACTGGACTCCCCCAAGCCATTGTAAACAAATGTGAACCTGAAACAGCCAATGATGAGTCCCCAGGGGCTAACTGGGCCTAAATTTAAAATTGGGTCAAATGGCCACTGTCTGACCCTGTGGGGTCACACACGTACTCTGCCTTTCCCCAAAGACCACACTTCAGTTTAACTTTGGGACTTTCAGAGCTCACCTGAACCAACCAGTCAGAGTTCACCTGAACCAACCAACCTGAACTCACCTTCCAGAGCTCAGCTGTATCAACCCTCAGAACTAAATAAGTCTGAATCCTTCATTTGCATCAACAGACCTAATTGGGAACGTGGGCTTGCAGTTTGCTGTAAAACCCTCCCTTTGTTCTCCAGAACATACCTTCACCTTTTACAGGGAAGCTGTGTCTCTCCAGTTTGCAAACTGTTCACTGGAATAAAGTCTCTTTCCTCAATATTCCATTTCAGAAAACTTTCGTTCATACTGCACAGCTAGCATTGCCAGGTCTCGTTCAGATCTAGCTGACTCCAGAGTTCCTATCTGGCTCACTTAACTACTCAGAGTTCCTCTCCTTCCTCATACAATTTTCTGAATCTACCTTCAAGATTTTTGTCCTCACGTTTTATCTGTGCTATTATTTGTGTAAAAGTTTTCCTGAAGCAGTCTTACTTCTAATTAATTTATTTTTATTGTGGTTACGTATGTGTAATGAGAAGTCTACTATTTGAACCAATTTTAAGTATATACATATAGGTCAGCGACATTAAGAACATTCACGTTGCTGTGAAACACTTATTTGTTTTAAGGTCAATATACAGTATTTTAGAAGGGAAAACTTGATATCTCTATTCCAAGTGGGAACCAGAATTACTTTCCATGGAAGTAGCCATTGGAATGAACAGAACGAGGCAGAAAGCTCTTAATGAGCAGCCAGTTCCTGTTGCACCGAAGGCTCTAAGTAAGATGAGGCCTGTTTCCTCCTACTCCTGGGACGCCATGTTTTGTTTAAAAGGAGGATCCCAGTGTTTGAGAAGTGTCAAAGGTAGGCTCACAGGGTTGACACGCCTTCCTTGACATGCTGAGAAGAACTGAAAGAGGAGAGAAAGGGACATTTTCTCATGCCCAGCTCCCTCTTCACCCCTTGCCCATCCCAGAGTCCCCTTTCTGCCTCCACACTGAGTGGATGGCTGAGATGTGAACCAGGCCCTTTCCCAGCAAGATTCCATTATCTCTGACCCAAAACAAGGAGCATGACTAGGAGCAGCTTTTGGGACAAGTCCTTTAAGATTCCCAGCAAGATTCCATTATCTCTGACCCAAAGGGAATTTAAGATTCCCTTTCCCAGCAAGATTCCATTATCTCTGACCCAAAACAAGGATCCATGACTAGGAGCAGCTTTTGGGACAAGTCCTTTAAGATTCCTTCCTGTTCTTTTTTCCCCCAAGTGATACCCTTTCTCTCTCTGAAAGCCATCACAGGGACCGGATTGCCCAAGTGCTACTGGCCCAAGTGTCTGGGGTGGCAGCACGCAGAGTACTTCATTAGGACATTTGTACGGGCCGCTGTGACGAGGCTCCCCTGTGGTGGGCAAGGCTACTAGCTGCTCTGACAGAGTAAACTTAGTGCAATTTGGGTAGAAAGTCAGACATTTAAAGCACCTGCTTAAAACATGGGTCTTACAGTGCTAGACACAGAAACCCTATGTGGGATAGGTGCAAGGGCTTCAGGGTGAGCCAGGTTTCAGTTTGAGGCTAGATGTGCCTGGTGACCCATTTTCCTGCAAGATAGAAATAACAAAATGTGTGCATGTGTGTCCTTCTTGGAAGCATGAAGGGCCAAAAAGGATATGGAAGGGTTGTTTTCTTAAGTTGGACAGGGATGTTCTCTATCAACATTCTAAGGAAACATTTTCATTGCAGAAGTTGTAGACATGTTTCAGTAAAACAGACTGATACCAGGAACATGGGAGGAAGAATGAAAATTAGTTTGGAAATCCTGGTGAAACGTCACTGTGATGGAGTCAGTGGCTCTGTGGCTTCCTCCCTTCTCCTGGGCATGGCCTTCCCTCCCGTGCAGCCCTGTTGTGATGCCCAAGGCACACCAGACATGCACTTCTCACCTGGGGCTTGATCTCGTCTTTGTCCTTGTAGTAGAAAAGCTGATCCCCGCGCAGCACAAACCAGCGCTGCTGCCAGTTCTTCATGATGCTCCTTTGCTTCTTCAGCCAGCCTGCCTTTAGCACAGGGCCCGGCCTGTGCGGGCACAGTGGCCTCCCGGGGCTCCGGCTCTGCTCCCCCATCACCAGGCTTTTGGAGCGAGCTGAAAGCCAAGGACACACACAGTGAGCATGAAGACAGCGTTCCTGCTGTCAGCCCTGCCCCCGTCCCTGCATTCCAGCTGCCTCATGACTGAGGCATGGGAGCCCAGGCCAGCAGGATGTGAGCAGCTGGGCCTACTTCCCCTTGGCATCAAAGGAGCATGGGTTGGAGCATCTGTGCAGCAGCCCGCAGTGATCCTCCTAGGGTAGGGTTACAGCCTGCCCACCTGGTTAGTTTCTGCTTTGTCTCTGGGATCTTGGGTTCTTCCTTCCTCCAGGTTTGCTTATCCATGCATCCATGCATCCATCCATGTATCCATCCATGCATCTGTCCATGCATCCATCTGTTCATTCATCTATCCATTCATTTGTTCAATGATTCATTCATTTATTCATTCAGCCATTGTTTATTTATTTCTTACTATGTACATAGGACTGTTCCAGTTTTCCTGGGGGCAAAGTAGTGAAATAAAAAACAGATAAACATCTGGGTCCTCCTGGAGCTCATAGTCTAGCAGGGTCCCTGTTGCTCAGGTCCAGAGGGAGCTGGCCCCACCCAGATCCGGTTTCTGTTCCACCCCTTTCCTCTGGAGGCATCAGACCCCCCAAAGCCTTCGTATTGTTTCCCTGGGACCATCCCACAGTGGGGCCTCTGCTTCAGCTGTTTGCTGTGGCTTGTTGGTGGCTGCCTGGCATGGCAGAGAGGCCAGTACTGCTACCCCAGAGCCTTTAAGTGCCCGTGAGCCCTGCAGGTCCTTCTTCTGGTTGATGGTGCTGAGCCACACCCTGGCAGGGTTGGTGCTTCCCTTCATAGGGATGACTGAATTCTTGTCCCCTCTCATCCAATGCTTCTCCTTCTGCCATCCCCTTCACTCTCCTCTGTCCTAAGGAAAGCTCTTCCCCTCTCTCTGGACAGTGTCAAGACCATCGCTACAGTGATCACTAAGAGGTGCCGTCTTGAACTCTGGAGAAATAATTCTGGGTTCAGATATAATCACACCTGTAATTCTTAGACCTTGGATCCTAACTTGTGACAGGGAAGCGCAGTGCCTGTGACCCACGGTTCTTGCACTATAACTGCAATTCTGTGTGTGTATGGGTATGTGTGTATGCTCTTCCTGCTACACTAGTGATTACAGTTCCCTAAGTCTGGCCTACCCTCTGCCCACAAGGTTCCACGAGCCTGGACCTTTCTTCCATCCCTCTCCCATCCATATTCTGGCAGTAGGAGCTGCACAGTGAGCTCCTACTCATTTGTCAAGAGCCAACTCAAATGACACCTCCTCCATGGAGACTTCCTTCTGAATCTCCTCCAAACAGTCATGCCCTCCCCTACCAGGACAGGTGGCCCATGGCTGGTGATCATGTGTGTGGTTGCCTTTCTGCCACTCTGGACTGAAGGGTGGGGACTAAAGGAGATGATGTCTTACCTAGTTCTGCATGTATGTCCTCATCACTGTGCAGGGCAGGGAAGAAATGTAAGTCATGGTGGCCAAATATCACTTGATACTTAGGGTCTTCCTTATTGTCAGGTATTTTTGTATCTGAACATGACATTAAATACCACATAGCACTCAGGCGGTGTCTAAGGACACATTACAGCTTGGTATTCCCACCTTCACCTCAAGTGTCATATGGCTTGGAGTGTAATCGTGAATCTATCACTTTTACATGGGCCCCTGTTCTGGAAAGCTCCTGCTCACGGACAGCAGCGGCATTCACAGGAGGCCTCATCTCTTCTCCCTATCACCCAGGTAGCTTTGCTAGCTCTATGGGTACCACTAGCCACCCTGGTGTCAGACTGTCTAGGTCCTCACCCGCTCCGCCTTGATTCCCTGTTGCCATCCCTCTGCTGCTGGAGAGGTTGGTGTTGAAGGCTCCATCCTTGCCTTGACTGTGTTTTGGCCCAGAGAAGTAGTTGTTTGCATGCTTGCCCCTGTACACTGAATCTGGATTGGTGATTCCTCAAGAGAGTAGGTTTTTTTTCCAGAGACTAAAGGGAAGGCAAATCAGGGAGCTGAGTGTGGATCACACAGTCCAGGCCTTTCAATGAAAACAACCCCCTCTGAAGCCCAGCAGTGCCCTGAACCTGGGCTTGAGCCCACCAGATCTGTGTTTCAGAATGATCAGCACTTTTTTTCCCCTCCTCTCTGTGGGGCTGTTCCCCATCCTTGTTCCTGTGGATTTAGTTTGCTTCCCGCCTTTATTTCTATGGCTGGTTACTATCCCTGCAAAAGGACACACCGTACATTACCTTTAGATTCTCACATTGATGAGTATTATCATTCTCCTCAATGTGTTATTTAATTAAAAAGATGATGGGACCCAACTGAAGAAATACAGGCTTTGAACTAAGGCTTGAGTTCGCATCACTGCCAGCTCTGTGAACTCTCTGTGCCTCAGCTCGTTAGTCAGAAAACTGGGCCAACATGATAAGACAGCATCTCACCCTGCAAGGCAAGTTTCGCGGAGGGGAGACACTATAACTGCAGAGTGCTTAGATGCATGGGTGCTTAGTAACGGGTTACTATGGTGATGAGGATTAGGATAATGGTGCAGTGGATGTATCGATGCAGAATTTGTTTCTTAAAGCTGGACTCCCAGCAGTGAGGTCACGGGGCAGAGGATGGGCTTTCCTGTCCTCCAGCCCTTTAGGTGCCGCTACACACTGCCTTCTAGAGATGGCATGTGGCTGTATTTCACCACAAAATTATGCTAGTGCGCCACTTTCTGCATCACCAACATGAAATATTATAATTTGAGCATTCCTGCTCCACAGTTTAGTAGGTATAAAATGACACATAGTTATTGTCTTAGATGTTCTGATTTTTGGTGATTAATCACCTGGAACATCTTTGCATGAGCTTCTACTCATTGTATGAGATGTCTGCTCATTGTCTTTGCTCATTCGGCTGATTGTCCACAGCAGGAGGAGCACCGACTCAAACTCAGTGACATAAAAACCCAAAGTCCTGGAGGCCCAGAGCTACCAGGCCCCCTTCCCCTTTCCACAGGATCCCCAGCCCTTCCCTGAAAGTCTCCCCACAGCCTGGAATTTCCAGACACCTACAGCACCACGTACTGCATCTGCACTTCACAGCCCTGGCTGCTCTGTAACCTCGGCAACACTGCATGGAGGACACAGAGTTGGAAGAAAACATCTGCCCAGGTAAGGGTGAGCTGAGCCTCTGATGAGACAGCTGGGGTTGTGCCAGAAGAGAGAGACCCAACAGCATCAGAAGGGGCCTTTGTGCTCCAGGGCTGCCCCTCCCCTTTTCCTCTGTCCCTCCTCTCATCTCAAGCCAGTGAGGGGCTGAGCAGGGCTGGATTCAGCAGCACTCGCCAATCCCTTTCCAGGGCGGGGGCTGCATCAGACCTTGGGAGGTGGAGCTGATGTACACGATGTAATGAGGGTTATCAGGACCCCAGGACTCAGATGGAGCCTGGCAGAGGACTGAGGAGGACAGGGACAGGTGTGTCCTTTTGGTTACTAAGTTTTCTTGTCTGGCTCTCAGTTTGCTCATCTCTAAAATTCCTTTAATGGGTTAAGAATCACTGGTCAAATTAGGTCACCGGTGCCCGGGCTTTTGTAGTGTAATCACGTGAGATTACTACCATGAGATTAGACAGATGTTGTTTCCCCTGGGGGTGAGGGGTCTCTGGAGCTGGTGGGTTGGCTCAGGCCTCCACTGTCTATTCTTGATTTTTCCTTGATCTCTTGTCAGAGAATCTTCAAGGCTATGGAGAACCTTTTGTCCTTCCTTCCACAGATGTTTGCAGAGCACCCTCTGGGGTCTCCAGTGGGGACTGAAGTTGTGGAATATTCTAAGGCTACCTTCCTGATTCTGTCTCTTGCCTTCTATTACAACAGAGCCTGAAGCTGGCTCAAGAAGTGCTTCCAGGACCAGGAATGCACCTGCTCTTCCTTCCACATCCCCTATAGCATCGTGTACAGGGCTGGTGCACATTAGGAGCTCAACAAAAACTCGGTGACTCATCAGCGCAGCCCGACTCCTCTGAGGGCTGCTGCACTGTCTGTCCTGGCAGTGAGCAATGTTGTGAGGTGCTCTCTGTCCAGGCATGCCTGCCCCAGGAAGGGTGAGCTCCCTGTGCACAGCACCATGGACGCTGAGCCTGGCTGAGAGCAGGATCTTGTGCAATCAGTGTGTAAGTGACTGCTGGACTTGCCTGTAGGTACCTCAATGTGGCAAGACAAAGAAGGTCAGCACATTCTGTGCCCTGATGCCCAAGGCCCAGGCATCAGGCCTTCTGAGAGCTTCAGGTAAGGAGGGAGCAGGTATGAGGAGACATGTTCACCCAGAGTGAGGGAGCTGGCAGGCAGGAAGCTCTGGCTGGTCTCTATTTCATCAGATGCAGACATCCCTGAGGGTTCCACCTGCCCCACCCTGGAGGATAGGAAAGGCTGGCTCCAGTCCCCCTGACAGGGAGGCACTTCCTGCAGATGCTACTGAAGCTGCCAAACAAGCCTAGGATTTTCCCCAGCTGATCAATCACATACATATTAGGCTGATGGAGCTTCTTGAAAGGAAAACAATCATTCCTATGATTTATTAATAACCACTGCTCCTGTCAACAGCACTTCCTTTAATCAATTTATTTGGTCCTGTTAATATTTGAACCAGGCCTCAAGTCAAACAGCTCTAGCATTCTAAGGCTCCAGAATGAATCCTAGTTTCTGGAGGGGCCCAGGAGCAGGCCCCAGGCAAGCTCAGGACCCAGGAGAGGTAAAGGGTGCCCTTCCCCTCCGCCCTCCCCAAAGGTGGCTCTTCCACACACAGGCAGGACCATCGTTCACTCATCCATTTGTTCCAGATCTATGGAGCTCCTCCAGGTACAGAGCCCAACTGACTTGATGATGTTCCCTGGGGTGGGGGGGGGGGTTCCCTCAGTTTGGCACGGGAAATAAATCTCAACCATCATGTATGGACAAAAGAGCACAGGCCTGGTGGGGCAGGCAAAGGCTGTGTGTGGATGCTGACCC